AAAGGAAAAGTACCCCAATGAGAGCAGAAAGAGCAGCACAAAACTCGATCTTTACAGAGTGGCAAGTATCAATATTTTCTCCCGTTGTTCTAACAGCTTCCCATACTCCTTCAGATATTCCTGGACCTAAATCAGGATTCACTCTAGAGATCCATTCAGCATGATTATTCTTGAATTCATACCTATGTTTCGAACAACAAATGTGCTCAAAAAGCAATAATCAAGAAATGTGACTGTTATTGAAAGTTTTAGGATTATTTGCACCTTAAGAGCAAGCTCCTTGCACTTGAAAGAGCAGCCAGTGATGCTATATCATACAGAGGATCTCCATCTCCCACATTCATGAATTTTTGCAAGCTTGGTACTTTATCCTTCACATAGTCCCCTAGTTTAACATGCTTTACAATATGATCTGCATAGGCAAAACACTTAAAATGGCAACTGATCTACTACTTAATAAATTGATTCACATTCTCAAAGAATTTGAATGTTAAATATGCAGCAAAATAACAGCATCCTTAGTTTGCACAAGACAGAAATTCTTGTTAATGAATATAAATTTTTATTAAAAGACTTGAGATTAAAGAATGTGTAATTTTAGGGGCCTTTACACTCCAATTCAAGACTCTTGTATCCATGGCATAAAGGAATTCCATAGGTAAAATTATATGAACTATCTGCTACACAGACTGAAGGTAGAAAAATCTTACTTACCCCCAAAGAGCTTCTTCACTGATTTTATAAGAGCTTCAGTTGTTTGACTGCTCGGAATGCCTGACAGGGAGAAACAATCCTCCGGAATAATAACCTGGATTGGTTTGATAGGATCCACCATAGGCAAATGCAGCAGAACATGCCCAACGCGACTCAAAATCAAGGGATCCCTAGCAAACCATCCTGTATGATAATTGGAAGTCAACAAGTATGTCTCACCAAATTAAAGAACGCTATGAGATGCATTGTCCTTCAGAATCTATGATTTAAAAGTATCAGATATGATCGGAGAAGTCATAGTCTCATAGTTAAATAAAAGGCTGAGGCCTCAGAGATGACTGCTTTGAAAATTTGAGGCCCCCAACCCCAATAATATCATTAATATCAGAAAAAATATGCAAGATCAATTCAATCCACCAACTAACAGATTTTAGTCCTCACCTACTGTATCAAAACTCTGTGCCATAGGAGTAACTCCGGCGGTAGGGACAACATCATGTGAAGGCCGAAACCCGAGAATTCCACAATAAGATGCAGGGACTCTGACACTTCCTCCAGTATCAGTTCCTATGAAGACACAAACAATTCACTTCAACAAATTTAAAGACAAACCAAGAAACCCAAGATCCCTTTCAAGAAGTAAAAAAGCTCACCTAGGGAGAAATCTACAAGCTTTGCTGCTACTGCAACAGCAGATCCACTTGAAGATCCCCCAGGTACCCTATCTGGTGCACATGGATTC